ACGCCAGAAATCTCCTCCTCTGAGACAGTGACCTGCACTTGCCTCGAAGGCCGCTGCACCTCATCAGCCTCAATGATCAGCGGTGTAGTGGGAAGCTTCTGCTGCTGCTGCTTCCACTCCTTGTAGTACAAGGACTCAAGGAACTTCACATCCCTCGACACAGTCAGCTGCTGGCTGGTCAAGTCCCAAATCAGCCAGCCCTTGTGATCCTTAGCAAGCCCCAAGTGCACACCCCATCTCCTAGAAGCTTCCAGTTTTCCCCTCTTCTCCTTAGGCACATGAAACACCACCATGCATCCGTAGGCTCTCAGCATGTTGACTGCTGGTGCACTCCCATATCACTTGGTGTAGGGGACCCATTGCTTGTCCCCCGCTGTCGCCAGCACCCGGTTCTTCACAACAGCGACCTGCCGCAGTGCTGTCACCCAAAACGGATCCGGCAGCCCTGCACGCCCAAGGAGAGTGCGAGCACCTTCCTGCAGGGTCCGGTTGAACCGCTCAGCCACGCCGTTCTTCTGAGGGTTGTAGGGCACTGTGAGCTGATGCTGGATCCCCTTCTTCTTCAGCACCGCCTCAAAATCAGCACCAATAAACTCTCCCCCATTGTCGGTGCGGATCACCTTGACCTTGTGTCCGCTCTCCCTTTGTGCTCTCGGCATCCACTCCTTAAGAACAGCCGCTGCCACCTCCCCTTTAGTCTTGAGAGGGTAGACCCACACCGCACGTGTGTGGTCGTCCACAATGGTCAAGAAGTAGCGGCTGCCCGAGAGAGAAAGGGCCCTTGTGGGGCCCACCACATCCATGTGCACAAGCGCGAGTGGAACCTTGGCTGGTCCCGTGCTGCTGCTGAAAGGGAACTTGGTGAACTTTGTCTCAAGGCATGTAGGGCAGCTTCCAATCTCCTTCGCTGCCCCCTTCACCTCCAATCCCTTCAAGCTCCCATCCTTCACCAACTTCTGCAGCATAGGAATGTTGATGTGGCACAGCCTCTCGTGCCACGTCTCCCAATCGGCCTCACCACTTCCAGACGAAGCCTTTGCCCATGCAGCCGTTGCATCCACACCAGCAAGCACCTCACCATGTGATTGTTGTGGCTGCTGCACCTTCTTGACTGCATCCAGGGCCCCAGCAGTTGGTGCAGTCTCCTCTCCTCCCGCAGTTGCCTTAGCCGCTGCCGCTGCCTTTGCCGTTGCTGGTGGTTTCCCATTCCAAGGGATGATGGGCAGCTGCCACAGGTCCTTGATGCAGCTGCTCTTCTCCTCCAAATCCCACAGCAGCAACTTCCCAAGCTTTGCACCGCAGTTGGTTGGGCCGAACGTAACTTTGGCCTTGCTTTTCTGCAGCCGGCGCACAGAGAGGAGGTTAGCGGATAAACCTTCAACCAACAGCACATTTCCCAGCCCCACAAGCCCCCCATTAGCTCCCATCACCTTGGCATTCCCAACACCAATCACAGGGAGCAAGGCACCTGAAGCGGCAGCCACAAACTTTATCTTCCCAGGGGGCTTCACCTCATCAAGCAAATCTGCCCGTGGAGTCATGTGACTCGTGCAACCTGAATCGATCACCCAGTGAGTGAGGGGGTGCATCACAGCCTTCCCAACTGAACCCACATCACCGCCACTCCCTTGCACATCCCCAACCATGAGGAACATCCCAGGGTCGGCTTTACCTTGTGCACCATCACCTTGTGCACCTGAACCTTGCACAGCACCACCTCATGCACGTTCACCACTTGGCGGCTTCATGCCTGGAGGCGCCCATCCTTCAGGCCGGCTGAAACACTTGAACCACGGGTGTCCAGCCTTCTTGCAGTACCAGCATGCACCCTCCATTCGGGTGCTCCCCCTGCCACCAGAGCTCCCATGCCCCTCGTTGTAGTCACCTTGGCCTCTTCCTCTGCCAAAGCCTCTCCCACGGCCTCGGCCTCTCCCTCCCCCTCTTCCTCTGCTGCCTCCAGCAGCTCCATACCCCTCAGCAGTTTTGTTGGCAGCACCACCTCCCGTGTGGCGCCTGCGGAAGTCCTCCTGTAGGATCTGCTGCCGTAGCCACTCAGGCGTGCACTTGTCCTGCTGAGCGTTGAGGGTGGGGATAAGGTTGTCCCACGAGTTGTCGAGTACCGAGAAGATTTTGGTGCACTGCTGCATCTCCGACACCTTGCTGCCCGCCGCTGCCATCCTTGCATAGGTGTCCTTGATCTTGTCAAGGGTCGGCTTCACATCATCTCCCGGCCGCATGGAGAGGGCAGCCAGCTCCTTCTCCAATACGATCACCATCGGCAGCGTGTTGGGTTGGACCAAGTCGCGTAGCAGCTTCCACGCCTTCGGTCCCGAGTCATCGAGCTCCACCAAATCCTTGATGTGCTGGAACATGTCGTTGTTGACCGACTGTAGAATCAAGTCGTACAGCACCGCGCTCCGCTCAATCCACCGATCGCGGGCATCTCCTTCCTCGGGCATCTTCTCCTCTCCCATGGCCAATTTCAGCAGCTTGTAGCGCTTGAAGGCGCTCCTCATCCGCCCACTCCATTCTTCATAGTTGGAGCCATCCAATGCCTCAATCTTGGATGGTGGCGGCTCACTCTTCTTCTCAGCTCCTTCTCCACTCCCTTGACTCATCTCCTCTGCTCCCAATCACAGGTTTCAGTTCCCCCCTTTGCTGGTCACAATGTAGATCCACACAATCTTCACAAGTGTCGGCGCCAACGAAATTTCGGCAGAGTTTCCCCTTAGCGGAAGTCACGTGCAACCTCCAGAACTCCACTTAGGCACGCCCACAGGCCATGGTGGGTCTAAGAGGGTCTTCACACCTCAGTAGACTCTTCACAACGTCCTCAATCAGCTCTGATACCACTTGTTAGAGACTAAGGACGGAGTCTAGAAGCTTAGGAGCCGAAATTATCACAAAATCGTTGGCTTAGAATTCTGGACAGAAACGTCGACTTCACAAGAAACGTTGTCGACGAAAGGTGCACCGTTAGAATCCCACGAATTTCGAGTATGTTGTAGCCCTATACCGTGGCTACATTTCCCAATTTGAATCGTAACAAAATATGAAGTATATCTCGAGTTATGCATTTCGGCGCACTAGGGGGTATGCTGCCACAGAAATTTAACTCAATCACAATTAACTCACAAGTCCCACAAAAGAACATTGGAGTAGCACTAAACCAGGTAGGAGGGGAAGAGGAGGACGAGAGGGAAGGTCCCAAGAGAGTCCCCAACCAAGGAAATCCCATACCACACAATTCCCTTCCCCATAGGCAACAAACTTTGACCTTTGTCACTTTCCAACCCATGCCATCCACCTCACCCCAACTTGGTCACACTTGCCAACCTGATTTGGCTTCACCCAACCTCTTGGCAGCATCTACAGTGATGGGTTCGAATTTCCCAACCCCAAAAGTCTATACCCTATAATGAGTCAACCCCACAACTTCTCATAGTCACCACAACCAAAATATATAAGCATACGAACTCCAATGTTCGTAACTTTCTTGGTTGTGCTCCGATCGCGACGATTCTTGGTTCGTTGGAAAGCTCTTGAGCAGAGGAATCACTTCAGATATCTGCTCAAGCCAAATAACATTCACACACACACAGAAAATCCAAACCACACAAGACACAAATTTCTTGCACACGCTCACACCACGCATGCAACGCACAAACACATGATGGGAGGCAGACAGACGTGAATGCATATGGTTGCATCACACAACAGCAGGAACAGAATGAGGGAGCAGATGGGGGTACCCCCTCTCCCGAGCCGCCATGGCGAGGGATCTTGGTCCAGGGTTTCGGTCTTTCCAGGCAAGATGACAACACCCCCACCCCACTGCCATAATTTATGGCGTGTTGGCGTGGGCCCTGCCACCAGTGGTGTGTTGTCTGTGTTCTCATTGGGCAGTTGTGTACTAGGCTAACTGTTCTCTGGTGTGATGGCTTCCAGTGAGGCACAATGGTTCGGAGCGCACAAGCTGTAAGTACAGCGCATGTGAAAAGATTACAAGTGTGTGGGTCGGGTGGGGTTTCGTGAATCACGGGAAGGTACAGTCTGCACACGCGTCGCGTACTCCCCCCCCCCCCCCCCCCCCCCCCCCCCCCCGTGGTCAAGTCCGTTTCAATGTGACTCACTGAAGTATACTGATTTGTCAGTGTGACTTGTTCAGAAACACGTAAAATGGTCAGTGTGGCAAAATCACAAATACTGAAATTACAGGGCAAAATAGAAGCATATACTGATTCTTCAGGGAAAACGAAAATCAGAGCTACAAAATCAGCGTAATCAGCGTGGTTTACGCTGATATATGAGGGCCTGGTTTGGATAAAACAATTGCATAATTCATCATTAGATGTTAGCTAGCGTCTCAGCTCACAGTAAGCACAGTTGCATGCCCGCCCACAACGACGATACGGTATAGTCATACCCCCCATTGAGTGATCGGAAGATGTTAACTTTCTTCTTGTATCGAGACGCAATCAGCTTGCCGCAGGTATCCCCTCTCCTCACCAAGTAAAACCGGCGAGTCTCGCACGGCATCCTTCCAGAATCCGGCCGCTCATCCACCATCACACACACCTGGTGTGAGGGGTCAAACCACAACTTGGCACAAATCTCGGAAATCAGTTTGCCACGCGCGCCATGTTCAAATGCGATACTCAGCAATCCGACCACAAAAAGGCACTACTACAAGCAGTCCCAAAGTGCGACAACACCAATGGACCCGTGAACAAATCCATAACACCCATGCTCATTGTCAAGTGCAAGCTGGACCTAGCAAGGCCTGCACGAGTCCTTGGAAAAAAAAAATCTGGATGTAAGGCTTCCATAAACAGAGGCAAACATCACATACATATAGAGTCAAAGAGCACATACCTGTGTGAGAACAGGCAGCAGCCAACAGCCCCGGGCAGCAGACGGTCGTAACAAAGAGAAGCGCCGAGTTAATAAAGGTTTGCAAAGCCCAGATCATGTGATTGCCACGTGAGATTGAGACTCACCATATCACGAACAGAGTCGTCCCATCCAGCAGCACCGGGCAGCAGTTGCTCGCAGTAGAGGGCAGGGTTGATGCGGAAAAGTTTAGAGTAGCCCAATTGACTCCACCCGATGCCTACTCTGGATAAGCTCTGGCACGTGTGCACTTCCGGATTGAGGATATGATGAGTCATGCAGGCAGCCACCGGAAACGTGCGGGCGTCGCTGTTGTTCTGCACACATATGCGCTGCAGGGAGGAGCGGGAATGGGGGGTGCGGGTGGGGGAGGGGAAGGTGGGGGGGGGGGGGGGGGGAGGTGAGGGGGGGGAAGGAGAGGGAGACGAGGAGGGGGAGGGAGTTATACATGGGCAACGAGTGTAGGGTATTTGCTCGACTCGTTCGAAATGCTCGTTGGGGGAAGAGTGGCGAGCCTGATTTTTTGGGAAAAAAACTCGCCCGAGGCGAGGCGAGTTTTACTCGACGAGTTTTATCTACTCGTCGCATGCTCGCCTTGGGGGACGAGCATTTTCGTGGAGATTACGTGCTCGACGAGTTTTTTTAACTCGCGGGCGATTTCGCCCGCCAATCCGCGCGGATCGGCGATTTCGCCCGTCAATCCGTGCAGATCGGTGATTTCGCCCGTCAATCCGCGGGGTTCGCCGGCTATTGCGCTGCGGAGTCTGCCACTGGTCGTGTCAATCACTACGCTCAGATCTTTCTTTTGGTCGAGCAAAACGAATATGCCTTTCCAACTAAATTGCCACTTGATTTCCCAACCAATTCGCCACCACTTACCTCTCTTCACCGCACTGAATTTACAAAACCCAACCACCAGATCCAGATTCAAGATCCAGATTCAGATCCCGTCACTTCAGAAAGCCACATCGTTCCTTGCGCTTGCCAGCCTATGGCCCATCACACAACCTCCTTCCCTCCCCCACTAATCTACTCCAATAATCCCCACTTAGCTAGCTGGACGCGTCTGTGGTAACTTAGTGCTTGCGAGTGGCGAGTCGGGCATGTCTTGTGCTCAGACGAGCTTTCCCCTAAACTCGCCCGAGCATGCCCTAAAACTACGAGGCCCGAGTATGCAAAATGTTGAAAATTGCTCGTCAGAGTTTTGCTCGACTCGGAGCAAAAGCTCGTCGATTAAGACCATGGACGAGTCGAGTATTGCTCGACTCGTCACTTTGACGAGGGAGAGATTGGTGTTGAGACGCCATGGGGAGTCACAGAGGTGGCACTGGAAAGGTGGGGTTCGTGCCTACATTCCGAGATAGTTTTAATTTGCCTGCACAAGTTGGGTCTTCAAAAACAAATGTCCTACCAGGCTACCATAAATGTCTAAGGGGTCTCGAAATCAGCTAACAAGTTGTTGAGGTGATCCAAGAAAATGAGTTACCCTGAGGTGGGGTTGCACTTTACCTAAATTGGTTAACAAGCTGTTGAGGTGAGCTAAAGAGGAATAGACAACGCTGAGCATTTCGCTTCTATTTCTCGGCTATGTATTACCTACAAGTGCAATCGAAAAAGGTATGATGGATAATGTGGCATGGTACAATTGCCGTAGTAGCAGCACTTACTTGTTAGCACGAGTGGCAAAAAGAGCTAAGAACCACACAAGAGAAAGAATCAAGAGACTGGAACGGAAAGGGATGGGGATGGGATCGGCAAGGGATCTAACCTTTCCCGGTACAAGAGGTTGTGAGCAGTCAATGTTACGGTTTAAGTGTGTTATGTTGGTGTCAAGGAGGCTGTTGATTGACTTGCATGTGTCACCCTGGGGTGGGTGGGGTGTTTGGGGGGGGGGGGGGAGGGGGAGCGTGAATGTGAGAGTGAGATAGAGAGTGGGGGAGATGCAAAGTCAAAAACACGATTCTGGTCTGACAAGTTGGGATTTGAGAGGTGTTTGGTGGGGTGTACGTGACACTGCGGTTCCAATAAATTGCGGTGCGTGTCGGTCAAGCACTGTGTGACGCAAGGGTGCGTGATGGGCGGGCGGGGGGAAGGAGAAAATGCAGGGAGTTGAAAGACATGTAGGAACCCCATGTGTCTTCAGCTCATGTCTTTGAATTCTCAAATGTGCCAGTCTGTTCATCAACGCGAATATGTCACTCTAGGGGGTGTGAGAGGGGCTGGGGGTAGATGGGCATGTGTCAGATCAGAGTGTATGAGAAAGAAGAAAGGCAGCTGGTCAAAAAGCAGTATTCAGACCTTTGACCAACAACCGACCATGTCTCACCCTCACCAGACGCAACCATGGCCTCACCTGGTTGGCGGTGTACATGCTGGTGCAGCTCTTGTTGGCAGATGCCGACACGTTGACTATCAAATCACGTGGTATGGGCTTGTCACATGCCATGCCCTGCCGATCAAAAGAGCCACAATGCAACGTGATGCCACTTAATAGATTTCATGAGAAAGCCGAAACATAGCATCGTAAATAAAGCGAACGACCATTTCACGCGCGGGTGAAACACGTGCAAAGAGAGACACAATAGAGAAAGCCTTCAATGAAGCAAATGTGCATTCATACAATACGAGGGTGAGGCACACAGGTCTCGGGATCCAAAACATGAAGAGCCCGTGAAATTGATGTAGTATTTCTACCAAGATGGGGAGAACACAATTTTCTTTCAAAATGTTCACAATAAAAAATAATAGTAATAGTAATAGTAATAGTAATAGACATAAAAGGGTAAAAAAAAAAAAAAAATGGTGGACCGGCCATTTATGGTGAGAGAGAGAGAGAACAAAAAAAGTAGTAAGGCAATAAGTAGAAGTGCCAACCAAACAAATGGTGGACCCGCCATTTATGTCGATTTGGCTTTGCATAAAGAAGCAGTAAGTTAAAAAGAGTAACACTTTTCAAACAACACAATCAGTCTGTGAACCCTATTGGTGAAGTACATTATTTTACGGAACATACATTATAACTCATTCTCCTAGAAAACAGTTATTGATTGTGCTTCTTGTTACCAATTTCTTGACTTGCAGCCGTTCTGATTCTATTCTCTGCTCTTTAAGCTCCTGTGCTTCTCAATCGGCAGTACACAAATTGTATATGGAACTATTGTAACAAACAAGAAGGGGCTCGGAAAATATGGCAACAAAAGGAGTGTTCAGCAGCTCATTGGTACAAGAATGCCTTTATCACCACGCCTCCTCTCATCAGCACGCCTCACCTGGTTGCTCTCCAGCAGCTCTTGAGGTGAGAGGTCAAAGATGTCGAGCGGCAGAGGGCATGTGAGGCCGGGGGGCGCTGGGAAGATTGGCACTCGAGTGGCGGACTCACGCACTGGTGGACAGCGGGCAGAATGGGAGATGGAGTGGAAGAGGGGAGAGAGGAGAGAGGAGAGGGAGAGGGGACAGAGGGCAGATGCAGACGGGGATAGGGGGGCAGAGGGAGGAGAGAGGGGGCCAATGGACACAGGGGGGGAGGGGGGGAAAGAGGGAAGAGAGAGGGGGACAGTGGGCCGAGGGGGGGGGGGGGGGGAAGGGGTGGGGAGTGAAGAGAGAGGCGACGGAGTGAAGCGCAGAGTTGAAAGCCACGAAACAACGGGGGGCGTGTTGCCACTAAACCCCCCTCCCTCTCCTCCCCCCCTTTTTCCCCCACCATTCCCCCACCTCTCCCATATTTTTAACCTACCCGCCCTAGCGTTCCATTAGCATCTTAAATAGACGCTAGGCATGAAGCAAGTGCACATAAGTGAGTGACCTTGGATTCCAAACCGAAGTTACAGAGTCTCCTCACGAGGTCAGCACAGCACTTGCGACGAGTCACAACAATGCTTGTGCGTCGGCTTTCAAGCAAAATAAGCCATCGTTGCATCCAACCATCAAATCACATGTCAGGTCAGCCGCACAGGTGCGTGGGTGCTGCAGGTGACGGCAACAGGCAGGTAGGTAACTTTGCTACAAGTTTGCCTCACCAACTTTAACTTACAGTTACGTTTTAGGAGCCTTGGGAATCGGCTCCGAAGATGCCTCGGTTCCAGCAAGGTTGAAGAGTAAATGAATCAATTCAGGGTTAACAAGCAAGGCGAGCCCAAGCGAGGGCGGGGCCAACACTCCATTCCTGTTAACACTCCCCTGCCACGCTCACTCTTGGGCCTCCAGCCAACACTCCACGGAGAAAACTCGTCCTCGACGTGCACCCCACGCACAGCACGCCGTCACCGCACCAGCCGTGCAGAAGGGCACGGCACCTACTTCTGCACCTCGTCGTCGCCATCGCCGACGTCGATCAGACGAACTTGGCTGATGGCGACAGAGCACCGGTTGAAGGCCGGAAAATGCAGCGCCTTCGTCAGGAAGTCCGCCGGCTGCTTGGTGGTCGGGATGTGCTTCAGCACGAATTTCCCGCGCCTCACCATGTGCTGCAGCTAGGCGTAGCGTCGCTCCATGTGCTTGAGGTTGCCCGTCAACACCAAGCCCTCAGCGACCGTGATTGCCGACTTGTTGTCGACGCGGAGGATGGTCGGCTTCCCAGCGTCCAGCAGCTTGAATTCCGCAAGGAGGAAGCGAAGTCGACGCCCCTCCTTGCCGGAATCCGTGGCCGCCACGTACTCCGACTCGGTCGATGACAATGTCGCGCACTTGATGCGCGAGCTCAACTAGGAGACGGCGGCCCCTCCGTAGACGAACACGTAGCCTCCCATGCTCGTCCGGTTTGGCTTGTCGCCCGCATCATCGGCGTCGACGTAGCCGATCAGCTCCAACGATTCTGGTCCACCGCCGAACTCCAGGGCGGTGTCGCGGGTGTCGGCGAGGTAGGCGAGGCAGCGGTCGACCTCGCGCCAATGCTGGTCGCTCCTCACCGTGAGGCCGCTCCCCAGCTTGCTGCAGGCGAACGCGATGTCCGGCCTCGTCGTCGTCGCCGCGAACTGCAGCGAGCCGACCTTCTGCCGGTACTCCTCCTCCTCGCGCTCGTGAGCTTTCTCGTCGTCGAATGTCAACTGAGCGTAGGCGTCGAACGGCATCTTCGGGACTCGACCGCCCTGCTTCTCGTCGATGAAGCGCCTACGCAGCTTGTTGGCGTAGATCTGTTGGTGCAGCCACAGCTTCCTGGCCGGCCTGTCGCGCACGATCTCCAGCCCAAGGTACTTCACCACCGGCGAGATCTCACGCAGCTCGAAGGCGGCCTCCAGCAGCTCCTTCAGCATCGCGGTGCTGCTGCTGGCGACGAGCAGGTCGTCGACGTAGACCAGCACCCAGCAGGTCACTCCGTCGTCGCCGACCTTGAAGT